GAGGGCCTGAGGCTAGCTTGAATAGAAAGGCATCAAGGAAAGATTAGGAAGGATTTAACTTGGAGATTTTGATTTAGTAAAGGAATTATGGCTTGTTTAGGTAAGCTTTGATAAAATTATGGGCAAAATTTTGATCAGTATATATATTTTCATTAAATTGAGAGAAAATAAATGTGTGCATCTGCACTTGTGGAGATGGTTGCTGGTACACCCACCGAGAGATTATTAACACCGACATGCACCTCCTTTATGCTATCAATCAACAAAATATTGTATTCAATTCTTGCATATACATATAATCCCAAAAAAAATTCTTGCATATATAATATATGTTTGCATTTAATACCCTCAAAAGTTCGACAAAAAAATAAAAAAAACAATTTGATAGCTGTGTTAATCAACGAAGCGCATTTTTTATTAGGTCAGGTGACCTGACGTAGCTCTACGTTCATACGCCAATAATATTTCGTCACATCTTCTTACTTTTTACCGCACGGCCTGACAACCTGACCCGGACTAGAACCCGAAATTGCTATGTTCGCATATTGTTCGGTATTGCTCGGGATTGCCAGTTATTGCTCGGTATTGCTATTTATTGCTCGGCAAAAATGAGAAATACCGCTCTGTGAAAACCAATACAGAGCAATGCCGAGCTATACCGAGAAAAACTCGGTATTGTTCGGTATTGCTAGGTATTGATCTTCACATAATGGTATTTCTCGTTATTGCAGAGCAAAATTGACCAATACCTTGCAATACCAAGAAATCCCAGGTCCGTTCTGGTTCGGATTGTCGGGCCGCATGGTAAAGAGTAAGAATACGTGACACTATTTTAATGATGTCCGAACGTAAATCTACGTTAGATTTATAGACCAAATAAAAGTTATTTTAAGTGAGTCCCTCAAAAAGTAGGATGGGCCCGGGCTGAGAAATTTGTGATAGGCTTTTTAGGGTTAGTCACGTCAGCCCGCTTAAGTTATTTAGCCTGTAACATATTTTTCCTTTAAAAATAATATAGAAAATTAGTCCTTTCATTTTTTTGCAAATCAAAATTAGCTTGAACGATGGAATAATAGTGATATTATTTAAAAATTGTATTTAGGGATTGAATATTATTAAAAATATTTTATATACATTATAGCTTAATATAATCAAATAATTACGACTTATGTTCATATAAGAAAATAGGCTCAAAATTTATATCCATTATTATTATTTATTTATTTTTAAGTTTATATTTTAATTATTAGTTGGGGTATGATTATACTTTTAAATAAAAATTGTGTATGTGGGCTGTCCTTGAGAGTTTTAGGATTAGCTCATTTAATCCCATACCATTAGTATTAAGCTATTATGAGAAAAATATTTTTTAAAAGCTTATATGAGTATTATAACTTATGTTTGTTTTTTTAATAAATAGCTTGTTTGTGATCATTTAATTAACAAAACAAACAAACTTGAACAACATTTTAAATACTCAATCCTTAAATAAACAAGCTTGAACACTAATGTGTTTGATTC